ACATTTTTCAACGGAATTGTCTGAAAATCCACACAAGGAGTTCCTTGTGGGTACTTTATACCTCGGCAGAGAATTATTTATATAGGTCCACAATATCGTATAGCCCCCATGTAACGATACCCCCCGATATTCGGTCTTTTGATGATTTTAGCCACATTTTTCAACGGAATTGTCTGAAAATCCACACAAGGAGTTCCTTGTGGGTACTTTATACCTCGGCAGATAATTGTCCATATAGGTCCACGATATCGTATAGCCCCCATGTAACGGTACCCCCGATATTCGGTATTTTGATGATTTTACCCACATTTTTCAACGGAATTGTCTGAAAATCCACACAAGGAGTTCCTTGTGGGTACTTTATACCTCGGCAGAGAATTGTCCATATAGGTCCACGATATCGTATAGCCCCCATGTAACGATACCCCCCGATATTCGGTATTTTGATGATTTTTGCCACATTTTTCAACGGAATTGTCTGAAAATCCACACAAGAAGTTCCTTGTGGGTACTTTATACCTCGGCAGAGAATTGTCCATATAGGTCCACGATATCGTATAGCCCCCATGTAACGGTACCCCCGATATTCGGTATTTTGATGATTTTAGCCACATTTTTCAACGGAATTGTCTGAAAATCCACACAAGGAGTTCCTTGTGGGTACTTTATACCTCGGCAGAGAATTGTCCATATAGGTCCACGATATCGTATAGCCCCCATGTAACGGTACCCCCCGATATTCGGTATTTTGATGATTTTAGCCACATTTTTCAACGGAATTGTCTGAAAATCCACACATGGAGTTCCTTGTGGATACTTTATACCTCGGCAGAGAATTATCTATATAGGTCCACAATATCGTATAGCCCCCATATAACGGTACCCCCCGATATTCGGTATTTTGATGATTTTAGCCACATTTTTCAACGGAATTGTCTGAAAATCCACACAAGGAGTTCCTTGTGGATACTTTATACCTCGGCAGAGAATTATCTATACAGGTCCACAATATCGTATAGCCCCCATATAACGGTACCCCCCGATATTCGGTATTTTGATGATTTTACCCACATTTTTCAACGGAATTGTCTGAAAATCCACACAAGGAGTTCCTTGTGGGTACTTTATACCTCGGCAGAGAATTATCTATATAGGTCCACAATATCGTATAGCCCCCATATAACGGTACCCCCGATATTCGTTATTTTGATGTTTTTAGCCATATTTTTCAAGGAATGGTCACAAGGGGTTCTTTGTGAGCACTTTACCCACCGACAGAGAATTCTCTATATAGGTTAACGATAACGTATAGCTCCCATATAATGGTACCCCGCGATATTCGGTATTTTGATGATTTTAGCCACATTTTCCAATCGTATTGTCTGTGAGTACTTTACACGCAGACATAGATTTGCCTTTATAGGTCCACAATATCGTATATCCCCCCATATATCGGCACCTTCCTATATTAGATATTTTAAAGATTTTAAAAGAATTTGTATTGGATTTTATTTTTTTGAAAAATTTCTAATTCGTTCCAAATGGTGGAGGGTATTCAAAGTTCGGCCCGGCCGAACTTACTGCTGTTTTACTTGTTTTCTTCTTTTTTCGTTTGTTCTTACTTGTCGCTTTAGGCGTTGGCCAGATTTGGGGACCAACCATGGTACAATAAAAAGGTAAGGTAGAGCTCCCAGCTGATTACAATTTTTTTATAAGTGTGTCCGACTTCTGCCAATTTTGTGCATGTATTTGTTGTTTTGAAAAATAAGAACAAAACATTTTCAAAATCAATAATTGGAAGAATCTTAAATTTCGGGGCGCGCATTAATGATATTAACCAGATTTGCCATGGAATTGAAAGATTGAACACTTTGGATCATATTTTCGAGAGAACGTCCAGGTATTTCATTCATCTTTCGCGCTATTTGACACATTTTAGAAATTTACAAAAAATACAAAATAAATGAAAACAATCTGTTGCCTATAATTTTGAATAATTCTGACAGGAAGCGGGTATAGCCTCAGGGCTGTATTTCTGTAGTTTTATGAAGCTGTTCTACCTCCTCATTGTACCATGGGACCAACTAGCACATTCGACGTCTTCATCAGAACAAATGACCACAACTATCACGGAAACACACAGAAGTAAGGTCACTTAATTACTAACTATTATTGTTAAAGCGACTCCCATTAGTCCGGTCGTACTAGCCTTTACGCCCTTTTTGACTTCTTTACTAAGACGTCATTTTGTTCTCGTTTTATTAAATATTAAACATAATTTTATTATTATTAACCATGGTAAAATAAGGAGGTAGGACAGCTTCGTAGAACTAAAAAAATACAGCCCTGACGCCCGCTTCCTGTCAGACTCATTCAAAATTATTGTTTTCATTTTTTTTTTCAAGCGCGAAAAATGAATAAAATGACTGGATTTCTCTATCAAAACTATGATCATAACTGTTCTATCATTCAATTTCATGGCTATATTGGATAATAGCTTAAATGCGCGAGCCGCAATTCATGTGTCTTCCAATCATTGCTTGTGAAAAATTTTTTTTTTTTTTTTTCATTTTTCAAAACAATAAATACATACACAACACTGGCAGAAGTCCGGCACACTTAGAAAAAAATTGTAATCAGCTGTTAGCTCTACCTTACCTTTTTTAGTGCTTTGACCAAAACAAATCCGGTTTTCTGACAGAACCGTCTTGAAAGATAAGGATAATCAGTATACTTTCTTTTTGTTATTAAATCTCTAACTGAAAATAAAAATACCAAAAATATATGCATAGAAGTCATATTAACGGGTCACCATAAACCACTAAACATAATAGATTAAAAGTTAGAAATATTACCGAAAACCATGCTCATCAGTAATTTTAAATATTTAGAGGGGACCTTGCAGCATTAAACACATCCCCCACAATCTTCTATAGGTTTTAAGCGTCAGTGGAAAGTTGGTTATGTTTTAGGCCTAAAAGAGCTCCCCTGCAGCCTTAAGGTGAGGTTACATAAACAGCTTGAAGTCATGGCTGGGCATATTTTGTGACATTTCATAAAGGGTTTCAGAGCCGCACTAAAATACTGCTGCCAAGCTATGTATATGCCTTCAACCTACTTATGTACTTACACCTTTAGTATTGTATTTTTTCAAACAATTAACAGTCAAATCACTATAAATTTTATATATTTTCTTCCTAAGTAACATGGGTTGGATATTAAGTAGACTTCCCAGGCTAACCAGTGTGGAACACACTCTAATTTATTTTTTCTCTCCATTGGCTCTAACTTTTTATACCCTACACCACATAGTGGTAAGAAAATTATGTCTTTGTGCATTTGTTTGTGACATGAAAAAGGAAGCGATATAGGATCTCCATAGAATAACTTTCTGAGTTGATGTATGCATGTCAGTCCGTCCGTCCGTCCGTCTGTCTGTCCATGTATTCTAGAGAACAAAATGCAGATAGCATTTATTATCCGATTGAGATGAAATTTTGCACAAATAATTTGTTTGGCCCAAGGACGAACCCTATTCAAATGAGATAATCGGTAAATATTTAGATATAGCTCCCATATATATCTTCGTCCGATTTGCCTTTTATTGTACACCAAACGTGTAATATCAGCCCGAATAGAGTGGAATTTTACGACCAAATTAGGCCTGAAAATAGGTATGCCAAATTTGATCAAAATCGGTTCAGATATAGCTATAGCTCCCATATATATGTTTCATCCGATTTGTTATTTTTGTCCTCCGCAGCCATAATATGCACTCTGTAACAACAATATTTGGGGAAATATATCAAATACAGTTCAAAAATACATTTGCTAAATTTTATCGAGATCGGTTCAGATTTGGATATAGTTCCCATATATAACTTCGTCCGATTTACCTTTTATTGTGCACCAAACGTCTAATATTTGCCCAAATGGGATGAAATTTGGCACTTACGACCGAATTGAGTCCAGAAGCTAGATGTCAAATTTGGTGAAGATCGGTTAAGATATAGCTATAGCTCCCATATATATTGTTCATCCGATTTCTAGTATTTGTTACCCACAGCCGTAATATGCACTCCGTAACAACGATATTTCAGGAAATATATCATATACAGCTCAGAAATATATTTGCAAAATTTTTTCCAGATCGGTTCAGATTTGGATATAGCTCCCGTATATATCTTTATCTGATTTTAAATTAATTTTGCACCAAATGGGCAATACAAGTCCGAATTTAAAAGATACAAATGCTTCGGCATATTTGGTCCTTTGAACTTTAAATTATAATTATAATCATAGCGTGTATGATTGAATTCTCCCATAAAAACTTTTAATTGTTACGTGGAGCTCTACTAAATTAGCAAAGTGTTGTAGGGTATCATAAAGTCGGCCCCGCCCGACTTAAGGACTACTCTTTACTGGTTTTGAACTCTATTAGCACTAAATTATATGTTAACTGCTTAGTTGGTTTAAATTGGTTGCCTAGTCGCTGTGTCAAAATTTTGTATATTTTTTAATTTGACTTTTCCCATTGATTTTCAATTCAAGTTTTGATAATTTTCCTCAACGACTTACCCAGCTTAATTCTTTACGATATACGACCGACTATCTACTAGTTCATATCCCCAAGCCATTTTCCGCCTCTAACTCCCTACCCCAAACAGCTGTTTTCGAACATTCATTTAGTTTCTGTTGCATTGAACGCATTTTTACATGCCGTCGCCTGCATAATTATTATTTTCCTATATATTTTGTATTTATTTCTTACATCTACTTCGCCTTACTAACCTTATTTTCTCGACTAAATTGTTGAAAACATTTAACGTCGTAATATATTCCCATGAAATACAGAATCTCGTTCGAAGAGAAACTGTTATCTAAGTAAACCTGTTTTTTCTATTTGGGAAAGTACTCACGCTGGGTGGTCTAAGTCTTTTGGAATATCCTACAGACTGTTTTTACCATTTCTTTGCAATACGCGTCGAAGTTCAGAGTATGCTCTATTAAGTTAGTTTGCAATTTTGCTCCATGTGGATTTTTTTGAAATGGTACAGTTGACAGTAATACTAGGAACACAATTGGTGCGAACGACGAATTTCGCCCTACGCGGCGACAAAATGAGCCGCGAAAATTCGTCGTATGGAACACAATACCGACGAAATTATAAAACAGCTGATAAAGTTGTTTACTTTTTGCTGATTTGTTGACTACAATGAATCAGAGAATTGTAAAGTTAATTAAAATTGTTAAAATAATAAACATAATGCATATTATAGTAAAAGCTTATCTGCTTGTGCGAAAACGTTTACGGAGAAGATGGTGGATACGGCCAGTGAACATTAAAAGAAACACCGAAGGATTCCAGAGAATGGCTTTTACGGAGCTAAAATTAAGAGATGAAGAGCACTTCTTTAAAGCTACAAGGATGACCGTGGAGAAGTTTAATGCTCTTCTAGATTTGCTTAAACCACGATTGCAAAGATTTTCAAAAAGAAAGCCAATTGACGAGGAAACACGTTTGGGCTTAACTCTAATGTAAGTGTTTGCTGAGAACTAATTTCCAGACAACAATTGATCCATATATTTTATTGCCAGATACCTAGCTCATGGTTGCAGTACACAGTTTTTGGCATGGACATACAAAATGGGTGTTTCGACTGTGAGAAAGATAATTTATGAAACTTGCGATGCGATCTGGAGCGAGCTCCATGAGGTATATGTTTCCCAACCTAATCACCATAAGTGGAAAAGTATTGCTGAAAGGTTTGGAAACTTAAATGTATAGTGTTAAATAAAATAATAATATATGATATATTTATTTGAAAAGATTTTACACGAAAACAGGCATGCCGCATTGTGTTGGGGCTATTGATGGCAAGCATGTCAACATCTTTTGTCCAAAAAATAGTGGTTCACTTTTTTATAATTATAAAAAAAGTTTCAGCATTGTGCTAATGGCGGTATGTGACGCGGATTATAATTTTATGTTTGTTGATGTTGGAGCTTTTGGCAGCCAAAGTGATGGTGGAGTCTTTGCAAGAAGTTCGTTTGGAAAAATGATTTTGAGAAATCAAATTAATCTTCCCCCTGGTGATAAACTACCTGGTAAAAGATTTTGTACATTTAATTATAGTAATTAAATTTTGAGTTTATACATTTAGGCACTGATAAAACGTTTCCGTATTTCTTTGTGGGAGACAATGCTTTCCCTTTGAAGAGAAATTTAATGAGGCCATATCCTGGACGAAGCTTGTCTGCCGCTAAACAAAATTTTAACAAAAAGTTATCTGCCGCTCGTGTATACATTGAAAAATCTTTTGGCATTTTAAAAAACAGGTGGAGGATTTTACATACAAACATTCAAGTGTCACCCAAAAACGTAGATAAAATAGTTTTAGCAACGGTAGTTCTTCATAATTACCTAATGTTAGATAAAACCTGCGGATATTTTGAAGAAAGTTTGGTGGATCACGAAGAAAATGGAGTAATTATTCGTGGTACATGGAGGCAGGCATCAGAATCCCAGCCTTCTATCCGAATTTCCCATGCCAACCGTTCATCAGCAAGTGCTTTTGCTGTGAGAGACGAATTAACAAACCACTTTTTTGAAATTCATTCCTGAAAAATTTCTTCGAATTCAATTTCATTAATATTTTAGTAATCAAAAATTTAATTTTATTTAACTTAAAATAAAAAATCTTATAAAACAAAACCAAAACTCAAATGTATTTAATACAAACTATATACTAAGGCAACATTTAATGTCATTTCAGTCATAATTAAAAAAAAAACTTAAAAAACAAAAAAAGAAAAAATTCAGTTCATAGAATTGAAATTTAAAAACTAAACTCACGACCTTAGCCTCGATTTCTGATATTGTGGCCTGTGGTAAATTCGACTCAATTAGTTTTTGGGCCAAGCTTTCGAAAAGCAACAAGGTTGAGTTGCGGCTACTTTCACTCCCTGAAGCAATTTCTCTTACAGAATTTGCACACTCCTGCATGAAGACCGTAGTTATTTCTGCGTCCGCGTGCTTCTTGGTGTACTTCGGCGGAGGTTCGTTTGCTTGGCTGCTGCTTTCGTCAGTTAGCAGAAAATCGTTGACAGAAGACGACGAGCAATCAAGAATGCTTGGCAAATCATTGTCTATGTTATCAATGTTTCCAATTGTTCTACTCAAATGAAAACACATTAAAATTTGGTAGTAACATATTAATAGAATGTACTTACGTTCGTGCATCTTTGTAGTCATCTAAAAACTCCAGCGACTCCATATATCTCCATCTTTTAGATGGGCTTGGTGCGCCACTTCCGGAAGCAAGCTGAGCTGCTCTTTTGCGCCTTTTGTAGGTGTCTCGGAGCCCTTTCCACCGTTTCCTGCAAGCTTCACCTAAATTTTGCAATGTAAAACAACATTGTCATTTATTTCTTGCTTACCCGACAAATTGACCAAGCTGCCAATTTCCTCCCATACTTCCGTCTTTTTTTGAACATTCTTGTAGTCTTTTGAGGCCAAATTATACAAGAACTCATAATTCTTTACGTTCTCTATTATAATTTCAGTTATGTCCATCTTCTCTATTATAAATTCACTGATATCCATCTTCACTCAAGTACAAGTACACAAATAAATAAACAAATTATTTATGTTTTTTTATACGAATAACAGATAGTAGAGTGACCATAACAAATTTTAAAGTAAAAAGTAACTTTATTTACTAAAACACATAAAATTCGTACAAGTATGGCCACATTGTATTGTTTTGTTCGCCGGTCGCCGGCGTATGAAATAGAAATAAAGCTAATTGAGTTCGCGGCGACCGACGAAATTTTCGCCGGTGCCGTGATTGTGTGCACTTCCATATACACATATGTGTTGTATTTTTGACGACGAACATACGCCGCGAAAAAATTGGTCGTTCGCTCCAATTGTGTTCCTAGCATAAATTGCTTTGTTCTTAGCTCATTGGATCGGTTGAGAGAGTATTGTATTGTAACGGCCATCTTTGTCATATGAACGATTGTTGTATTTCTATTTTCTCGGACAGTTGGATGTATGTATGAGTGCAGAAACAATACTGCTTGAGAATGAGAGGTTCTGTAAAAAGTAGAGTCTTTCCTATGAAATATTCTTTTTTCCATTGAAGGAAATGAGAATATGATGTTCTTATTCAGCCAACTGCCAAACGAACAGTTTGGATTTGAAAAAAGAGAAGAAATAATAACAATGCTTAGGTTCTTGCAAAAAAATTAGTTCGGGATGTTGTTTACAGTAGCCGGTATAAGAAATTGATAAATAAAACAAAATTGTCTACCCAACCTATTTAATGATAGAATGGAAATATATTATGAAATTGAAACATCCTCATTTGTAATTTATAATTGGCTTCAATAACAAACTTTTAAATTGTATACGTTTATAAAATTGTTAATAAATCAATGACATTCTCCTGAATTTGTAGTTTTTAATGCAAATGTGGGAACCATCAATATAATTGTCCCAAACACTGTATACGTATTGTGCTTTCAATTGCATTGAAAATAATTGACCACATCAGCCAGTAGTAAGAATGAAATAGTTTATTCTTATTTTAACTGATGTTAAAGAAATGAACTTAAATCTTTAGTAGTAGGGAAACATAGAATTTAAGTGTTGTTTCAAAGATGTATTTTTTAACAGATTAGCAGTTGTTACTTTGAGCAGATCGACTTTATGTATCCGTCCATTTGCTATCTCATTTAAATAATGATAGAGTTTTGTAGGATAGTCATAGTCGGATCTTTCAAACATATATATTTTAGCCAGTATTATAAGATGTGGTTAATTTTTATTTTAGAATCAAAAATAACCGACTTCAAACTTGAATAAATGTATCAGGATTGTTATAGGAATAGTGTTCTCCATGAACACCCACTAAAAATTATTTATTAATGTTTAGGCTACTTTATGTATAAATTATTTGAAGAGAATAACCTGATAATTGAAGAATCATAATAAATTCAATTTATGTCAAATCTTTTGTGGTTAGTCAATAATTAAAAAAAGAAAACTTGAAAAATATATATGTTAGTGTAGCCTTAGCTCAACATGGACCATTCAGAACATATATATTTTTTAATCTTAACAATGCATTTTATATGCATTTGGAACTTTCCTTTAAAACTACTGAAAAATACCATTTTGCTAAATCACCTACACTTGACATCCCTAACGATAATAATATAAGAAAGAGAAGACTAATGGTAGTTGTGTTCCAGTACTTTTTTAGTAGTAAAACTAGTAGAAGAGAGAACAGTACGAAATGCCATTCTCATTTAGGTGTGCTCAAAAAATAAGGGAACGCAAAATTAGTAGAAATGCGATAAAATGTCAACATTAAAAATTCCAAAAGAAAACAGTCTAAATCGGACTGGTGAAACCTTACTAAAATGAACGCCAAAATTTAAAAAAAATGAGTATTGAAAATAAGTTAAAATTAATAATTATTTTTGAATGCTGTTTATTTAGAAATTTGCTTTTTCAGAATGCGTTGAAGAGTATTTAGAGGTGGAGTTTTCTCAAATCCCAACCCCGGAGATGCTGACATGTTTGTTAATGTTAAGTCTGCTAGAAGACTTAATGCCACAAGTTGGGAAGACAGCCAACCTAAAAAATAAAAAGAAAATGTTCGCAGTAATAAGCGAACTTCTTTGATTTTAAGCTAAATTTTTCAATTTACCTAATTTTGGACTGTTTTCCAATACGTTTTCTTCGTCTGATTCCCCATTCAGGCAGTCCTCTTCACTCCTGGAATCATCTAAAAGTGAATACATCAGTTGCTCCATATTTTCTCTTTTTGTTTTTTGCACGACAAACATTAGTTTTTCTTTAGTCTTTAAGTTTATCTTTTTTCTTTACATTTGTTGTGACGCGCGAACATTGAAAAGTATCAATACATTTTTCAACCTTGTTAGCCCTACCAATTAAATGTCAAATTTACAATTTGCACATTTCTGCTCGGTCAAATTCATGTAGCTAAACAAGCAGAAATGTGCACCACTCAGCGCCATTTTCTTCTCGATAGAGCTGCAAGTTTTTGCTAGTTTTTGGAGTACGGGAACGCATTGTAGCAGAATTGGTACTAATTTGTAGGTTCTGGAACACAACTGATGCTATTAATAATACTGGCAATAATAGTTCGTGTTGTAACAGCTAGACGAACTGTAATTACTTCATTTTTGTCAGTTAAAGTGATAAGATCAAATTCAGTTGTTCAGTTAAATAAGTTTTATCGATTGTGTCAAAGTTTTAACGGTCAAAATGCCAAAAAAAGTGTGTGTTTAAGTGCCAGTTGTACAAACATTTGTATATATTCCCCCTAAATGAACATGAGTATTGTGAACGACAATTGCAGAAATAGTGTTCAATTCTACAAATTGACGCCCAAAAAGTGAACAAAAACATGCGAATATGTGACAATCACTTTCTACCAGAATTTTGTGGAAAAATGAGACTAAAATTAGGAGCCATTCGGGGTGAGTTTATAAGTTTTGTGTTAGTTTGTGTTTTTACAGGGTACATTTTAAAGTTTTTATTGAATTAACTTAAAAACAAGTTAAAAAGTTTCCGTCGGTTTTGCCGACAGATTGATACCCTCAGCCTATGTCCGTTTATTGAAGTATATTTTGAAATGCTTTATTTTATTACAAAATTAGAGCCTTTATAAGAGAGTTACCGAAGGAGTGGGAGAATATTGTGCATTTCGCTTATGACCTTAGTCTGATATAAACAGTGACAGACGGACTGACGAACATCGCTAGATCGACTCCGAATGTCCTGAAATGGATTTCGTCCAAGGAGACCTAGGGTCTAAAACCGTTATTTCGATTAGGCACGTTTTGACCGTATCATAAGATATATACTCTCTCTAGCCATATGGCTGATGGTATAAAAAATCAGCAGATAATGCATTTTACTCTCAAAAAATGTATTCAAAAAGCTGCAGCAACAAATAAAACATTTTATAAATAGATTAACTAAGTGATGCAAAATCTAAAAGAGAAATAAGTACGACCTTTTTAAGAGAAATATGTTATACAATTTTTTATTGTACTGCGCCAATCCTGTTGTTTTTATTCTAACATTACAACCGGATTACGAAAATATATCCAAGACAGAAATCATATAAAACTTATTTAAAAACACATAATTTTTTTGTAACACATAATGTTTCATAAATACATTTCAGTTGTATTTTTATATTTTTTTATAAACAAATATGTTAGTGTGAATCTTTTCACAGAAAATAAAAACAAACTCAATGAAAGTCAAAGCAGGTACGCTACTTGATCTTGTCTGGTTGCAGTCCATCTATTAAAAACATTTCAAGTTTAAATTAAATTATCTCAAATGTTTTTATGTCTCTGCTAGAAGGATATGGAATACATAAAAATTAACGACTTCCGCTATTTAACCGGGATGTTGCCTAATGCAATCGGAAACTTGTGTGTAAGTTATACATTCATAATCTCATTTATTATTATTTTTTTTTTTTTCATTTCAGATGTACCAAATGAGGAGCAACTTCTTGGTCTACCAAAATCCTTAAGAACGCAGACTCAACTAATTGAAATGAAACCAAATGAAATCATTTCCATCTTCTTGTTTTGATGAAGAGATAAATTCAGAATCACCAAAAAATAAACAAGAGCCCAATACCCAATCCATAAAAAAGAAGAATTGATTGCACATCATACTTTTCCCTTTGAAACTTCTTATTTACGTGTCATGAAGCCCCTAAAGTGTTACGAAAGAAATATCAAAATTCCAAAAGCACTAAATAATGAAAACCACACGCCTACAATGTGCAATTGTAACTGCCACAAACAAAATGCAGCAATTGAATTAGAAATTACAAAGCGAAAATTGCATATGGAAATAACTTTTCTGAAATCACCACTGGAAATTCAAAAGAATTACTATGAGAGCATCATAAGTGGCATCAAAAAAAAGGAATTGACCTTAGAGAGAAAAATTGAACAGATAGCTGAGTCCTTAGAGGCTATCCACGAAGATTCTATTTATTTCAAGGATATGAAAAGTAAAGAGTCAGCTCATTTCTAAAGAATGATATGCGACGACACAGTACATTATAGCTTGATACAAAATAATATAGCGCAAAGTATGTATATAACGTCGAGGAAATGCTATAATTTTATGAGAAATGAGCTGAATTTTAATCTTTCACATCCGGGAAGTTTATTGAATTGGCGTCCCATAAATAGAGTAGAAATGGGTAGTGACCCCTTTATAAAAGAAAATTTGAGGAACGTTGTGAAGAAATTTTCTAAAAGGGAGCGCCAAGTATTAATAGCATTTGACGAAATGGAAATGCGCCGAGAATTGGAGTATCGACGGGTTTGAAGATCTAGGTAATGGCAACAGAAGGGGAAATATTGCCAGAAAAGCTCTCATTTTTATGCTGAAGGCTTGTTGTAGCAACTGGAAACACATTATGAGTATCTGCGCATTCTCAAGTGGTGCTGAGGCGTAGTTTGCGACCAAGGTTCCGCAAACTTGAAGT